ATTTCATTCGAACACATAGGAAATAGACAATGAAGTCACATGAGCACAGCCAATACATACGGTCTTATAAGCAACATTAGGTGATATAAGGGATTCGCGGAGCGTTTCTTGGAAGTTGAAAAACGCTTATCATCATTATTAATAAACATAATTACATTCGGGCATCCAAATCTTGCGTGCCACGTTACAACTTGAAAATGGCATGGTCCTGAAGTCTGAAGTCTTGGAAACCAGCTAAGCCGAGTCTGCAGATGACCAGAGGGTGGGGAGCCCTTGCTAGCATGACTTGCTATCCACGCTCGTATAGCCGGTGTGATTGGCGATGATTCAACACTGCCATCGTAACTCGTACAAGTCGGAAAGATCTTAGTTGTCTATGCCCATGTTAGATCATTGTTTCGAAACCAAGCTTTTGGTCGAGGAGACTCACGGAAGCCAGGGGAGTGGTGAGTGCCGTTGTGGTGGAAGTCTCTCAGCAGAGTGGTGTTGGATCTAGTGAAGTGGTGGTGGGTTCCGTTGATGGGCTCAAGGAAGTGCTCGGCAGCGGTGAGGTTGGAGCGAGCGACGTGGTGGTGAGTACCGTTGTGGTGAGCAGCCTTCAAGAGGGTCGAGTTGGTGGGGAACGCTCCGATGAGAGGAGTCATGGCCAAGCAGGCGAGAGCGGCAGCGGCGAAGTTGACCATTTTGGCGGGTTTGTGGTGAGGTTTGCTAGGATTCAGAAGAAAGAGTCTTTGGAGAAGACGGAATCGTCAAAAGTTGGGTTCTTGATCAACTATTAAATAGGGGCTCAGCACTAGGGGAACATGCTCAGCATCCTTGAGGGGAGCTAAACCGAAGATCTTTCTTGAAGATCCATGAGTTTGGCCTTATCTCGCTTTGGGCTCTAAAATCAGCCAAGGAGTGAAAACCTCAACGTCGATCTCAGGATCAGTCAAACCAGCCCTGCAATTGTGTGAACTGACAAGGGGTGCAAAACAGAATAGTCTCATCCACTTCGGGAGTTATTGGATGATCAAGCATCAGAGCCTTGCGGTAGATCCACAAACGGACCACATCGCGCCGTTTCCACCAGAACGCGGTGTCCATCGTCAAGTTCTGCCTCAAGGGACAGCAATTGGCAAGCATCGCGATGAAAATGCCGGTGGATATTGGATGGCGGTCGTGGTTTTTGCTTGTGCACCAAGCTGATCGCGCCAACTTGGGTAGCATGACTCAACTGACAGGACCATAAGTTGTTTATCCACTGATTGAGTGATCACCTTGAGGGACATGGACGAGAATCTCGACCGAATTCAGCATCTTCACTGACAAGTGCGGTGTAACCTCGTCCAAGAACATCACCACCAGCTGGAAGAGAAGCCCCGATAAGGCCGTTCTCAAATCCACTCGGTGCCCAGCTACGGCAATGATTGCCGTCCGGATTGATTCTACAGGATGGGATTTTCACTTCTCACATTGCGAAGCGGATCCAATGCAACCTGAGGTGGAGAACAAATGGTTATCCCGGCAACGGAGACCGCTCCGGAATCTAAGCTCTGCGAAAGCTTTGAAGAGCAGAAAGCTATTGCGGACTGACACGTGCTGGAAGCGGCTCATTTAATGTGTCTGTAGATCGGGCGAAACTTGGGTCGATCTCTCACCGAGAATTTCAACGTCCGTTTCTTGACCACAATGAGCCTTCCAGGTCGCGTCCAACATTTTCCTCGAGCTTGGAGCATCTTTGGATCGACGCGTCTCCCTGCCCCGGCACTGATCCACAACTGAGGGAGCCAACCATCCAGCCTGTTCATGTTTTGGGCGAGCTTTTGAATGCTTATTTCCCAACCTGCTTGGCAGACCGCCTCGGTCAAGACTTCATGAGCTATCGCAAAATGGCTTCGTCTTCTCTGGCCATCCTGCAACTTCGCAACAACAACAGCGGCTACATTTTTCGTGAGCCTCGTCGATCCTTCTGCTGTCAGGATCTTTGGGTGTTCCTTAGCCGGTTCGCAAGTTCGAATCTGCATCGATGCCAGGTACCACCTCCTGCTGAGATCTTGAATGACTGTTCAGTGATACCAAATCAGTGTGCATCTGCCGGTTTGCACAAATAGGTGGAATGGTGAGATTTGCCTTCGTGATGCGATAACACCATTGCAAGTGCAAAGCCTCGAAGGCGATGGGTGCACTGCTTGAGGATTACGCTGTCGTGAAGGCGGTTTGTCATGTGGCCCGGGTTGCATGACTACCCACCCAGGGATGATGTTCTAAAAATTTGACCAAAAGTTGAAGGTCTGTTTCAACTGGTCGTGATCCTTAGCCAATGCGAACCTGTTCCAAGTAATTGACATCAGCTATCTGTTGAAGAGGATTTCGTTGAATCATACGTCAATTGTCTTAAACATATCGGTATTAGGGGTAAGTGGCTTTTTGACTTCCCTGGCAATCGAAGTCTCGGCAGGCCCGGCTGCTTGGCTCTCGGCAACGTTCTTGGATGACATGACTGAAGATCCCAGATCCATGACATCGTTGATTGGGGACCCCACAAATTTGCTGAACGACGACACGGGGTTGAACAACGCAAAATAGAGTTTGTAGAATAGATGAGCCCACGATGAACTGGACCGGAACGTTGGATTGCTCCGGGTGGCGCCAGGAATAAGTGATCAGCTTGGCGCTGACAATTGAAAGCGAAACCGGGGACGTTAAAAACAAGACAACTCCGCCCTCGCGCATCCTTTCCAGAACATCGCAGTCAGCGCTCGTCGATCAATTCCGTCACTCGTTTGCCCTTACTCGCCCAACAGATCCACGACTTCTCAAAACAACCTCGTTCTCCACGATGCATATTCCGATCGGCTCGTTTGCGCTTCGCGCTCTGGCTTCAGCGCCCCTCTTTAGCCCCTGGAGCACCAGTGAATGGATCGCCTCTGACGACACGGTTCGCAACGGGACGAGTCATTCCTTCCTGGATATCATCGAGCCTGGCGCGGTCGGTAACCCGTTCACCGAGACGATTGTCAACTTCCACGGAAACCTGGATTATGCGACACTAGGCGGTGCCGGTTTTGCTTCCCAACGAACAGTCGATGACTGGCCCAGCATCGATATTTCAGCTTACGACACCATCACCCTAGAGGTCCCCTACTCTGACGGCAAGAAGTACACGTTCAACTTGAAGGACACTGTTCCGCCTCCCATCAACGGCGTTGAGCAGTCTGGTGTGAGCTGGGAATATGATTTCCAGATTCCAGCGGTCAACCACACAACGGGCGACGTCGAAAAGGTCGTTATGCCAATCGCGGACTTTGTCCCAACATACCGTGGAAGAGTCCAAAACGACACTGCACCTCTTGATCTGACCAGCATCAAGAGAGTCAACTTCATGATTAGAAGGTGAGCAGATCCGAAAGCCTTCCTAGGAGAAAAGTCTAACCCAGTCGCAGTTTCTTTGCCGAGCAGGACGGGGACTTCCAGTTGCACATTAAGTCTGTGATCGCCTCAGCTCAGGGGAGGCAGGAATTGCGGTCTGCGGTCTAACTGATGGAGCATGAACAGTGACGATACAAAAGCAGTAAAATCATCAAGTTATTGAACATGGCCTACATAAATCACCTTGATTAAACAAAAACTAAGAGAAAAAGAATTTGCTACTTGTCTGCATGCCAAAAACGTATTAAAAGCAACTCAGACCAGGGAGAAATATCGAGCCGACCTGTGTAGAGGGTTTCATGCCCTTCTTCCAAGGGAGGTTTGTGGGATTGGGAGTTTCCCGTTACGTGACTAGTCGCATGAATGTTCCAGGGAGAGCTCGAATTTCCAGTTTCGTGATGCAGATCGTTCGCTCTTCAGAATTTCTGTCACGTCGTACTATATTGCGTAAATGTCTCTAAGACTGTACATGACTTGTTTGTGACTTGTTGATCGACGTTATCAGAGAAGTTTCGATACCCGGCAGAGTACTACCTGAAAACTATGTACATCTTACACATACCTCATATAATTGTCTTTACTATGATTTTTCTGATTACCTTAAGTACTGTTTATACCGTCGTTGCTGCTACTCCCATTTCATTGTAATCGGCGTCGTCATCCTTGCGGTTGGCTTGCAACCACCGTCCATCCGAATAGCAGAACTTTGTTAGAGATCGTGACGCGATCCTACGTCGACTTGGAGTCGTATCCCTTCGAAAATCCTTCCTGGTGCTTCAGTGATGAATCTTACGTGAGACGATGACTTCAAACCGATTCAAAAACGCACAAGTACCAGCTGAGTAAGTTAAACCGGTGAACCGCCGAGCACTGTGGGCTTTGAGACATCCAAAAGCCGTTTTCCCATTGGCTTCGAAACGAAGTATCCGATCAGGGCAGGTTTTGGTCCACATTCACAAACGTGGCCAAGCAGCAATGAACCCTAGTGCTTACGCAAAGCACTTATTTGCTCGCCTGAGAATTTCCGTTATATCATGTCTTGAATTACTTCCCAGTTTCAACCGCCGCCAAGAAGGGCAAATCGACGTATTGCAACCCCCCGCAGAGACCGGTCTACATGTCCACAACTGTGCAAGGTTGACGCACGCTTCTTGTAACCGGACATTTACTCCCCTGTGATCACAGCTCTTTGCTTACGCTCTACTGGTTAGCTCAGACACTTGAGCACCGATTGAGCATCTCCATTACGTGTGCGTGTGTCGGAGCACCTACATAGGATTCGAGAGAATAGCCTGAGAGTTCCTTTTGTTTTAGACACCGCTTAGTTCAGGTTCAAGTCTGCGACTATCCGGAGGATCACATCCATATGCGGTGCCTCAGGGCGTTCTCCGAGACTCCGATAGACGAACATGCGTGTGGTTTGTTCAATGATGAGATGCATGCGAGTCGATTGTTGAAAAGCCTCAGATCTATAAGAATCATGTGTTCACCCACAGTATTTTATCCCTCTCTGCACTTTTATCACCTCTAGATTGCTTCCAAGCACCATTAAACTTCGCTACTTTTGACTCATCTGCCATTCCGTCAACATGCGCTTTGCCCAGATTTTCATGCTTGCCGCCACCATGTCTGGTACGACGAATTCTTTACTTGAGACTCCTCACTTTGATGAAGGCCCCCCCGGGCACTAACTCTGAATCACAGGCGCATTTGCTGGCAAGAACTGCAAATGCCAGGACCCAAGCGGTAAAGGCCCTCAGTGGAATGGCCTGACCAAGCAATGCTGCAACGGAGATGTCAATGCCGGTTGTTTCTTTGCACCCAACTTTCCCGGCCCCAACAACCAGGTTCGTTACTTCGGCTCTTTGGAAAATAGCCATGTGACCATTCTTGGTTTCTGTGCTGACCTCCGTGACAGTGTACTGGTGTTGGCAACTGTCTCAACTCCGGTGCTTTCAACGATTGCTGCAAGAGTAAGGGGGCTCCTGGAGCCTACTGCTGGTGATCGTCTTGCCAGAGTCGTTTGTCCAGATAGATCTGCATACCCCAACAAAGCCAAGAGGGCGGCAGCATCAGAGTGCAAGGACTAACGCGGTTGGGTGAACGGGAAGCCTAGCATTGAAACTGATTGAAGTCGGATCTATTCTCCATTTCAAGATCTTTCATCCCTCTTGTCTTCCTTGTGACTGAGATTAAGATTTACTCAACATTTGGCTTTTTGTTTCCAGCCTCAGTTCCTACGGTGCCAACACCACCTAATCGGACGTCTGCCTTGAACGCGAATATGGTCGGTCGTCCACTGAGAGTACCCTGTGAACAGCTTGCGATCACAGATGTCAAATCAGGAAGCAGTTGAAGATACATGAACCCCATTGGTGTCTTTTTCATTCGCTCTTAGTCTTACTCAAACCCTTATGGGATCTGCTAAACCCCTTTCACATATTACTCAGAGTCATCATCGTCCTCGACTTGTACATGGATCCCGATCTTCTCCAGGACCGAGCTGCATATGCTTCCTGCAGCTCCAGCAGATAAGAAAGTATTCAAGACGACCGCAGCCGACTCCAACAACCGACGATCCTGCAGTACTTCACCGGAACTATTCATCGCTGCGAGAACCCAGCCGACGACAAACGGCAGTTGATTCTCACGCTCGATGTACGCCGGTGTGAAGAGCTCCCTCAATAAGGGGTCACATTGCTCCTTAAGACTCCGAAGCACCATCCAACACCACCGATGCATCAGTAGGTACGGAAAAGCAACCTCCATAATCTCACTCTGCAGCGCGAAGAGAAGAGATCTGATCAGCTTTTCCGGTGGCAAACGTCCTCCGTCCTCTGCCAACTTCTTGTTCTTGCCCTTTCGGATTTCAGTCAGCCTCTTCGGGTCTATGACTCGAGCCATGCTGACGATTTGATCGCCATCGTGTTCTTCCTCCCATTCGCTACGCGACAGCACGTTGTCGACGAGCTCAGTGGTCCACACCATGCCAGATCCGCGTCGGGTAAATCGATTTTGGAACATGATGGATACGGGAGCTCCTCTCTTGATGGCGCGAGGTCCGGCGCGAGACTCGAGGTTTATCTTAGCTCGTCTCTTGCTGCGGTTCGCAAGAGTTGCAGCAGATACGCCCATTTGAAGGCAGAACTTCTTGTAATAGTCCTCTGGCGCGGACGGGGCTCCGCCGACGTAGAAACCATCCTGGCCCACGAGGATCCGCATAAAATCCATATCTTCCCATGGTCCTTCGAGAAGACCTTCTTTTTCCACGGCATTGTAGAGGTGTTCCATGTATGTGATGGATCCCCAAGCATTGGCTACGGCAATCCCAATGTCGTAAAGATCAAGCCGGAAGTGGTGCAGAATCAGACCAGACATGACGGGCGACTGCCTGAGAAGGTAGCACTTCTTGGTGTCAGGTAAGAGAGGTATGCCATGACTCCGCGCATAATCGTTTTTGACCTGATGGATTGGATCAGTACCGAGCCATCCAATGACGGACTCTGTGTCTTTCAGAGCCCGGTCGTGCTTGGCTGTCCAGCCATCGATCTTGAGACTTTGATGGAATTCAAGATGGCTTTTCAGATTGTTGCGCATGATGCTGGTTTCGTCGCTCATTTGGAAAAATCCTCTCTCCACGTCGTCCCTTAGAATGTGATGGATGTCAAGGTATGTTTGGGCGGCGAAGACAAGGTAAAATGGAATCTTCTTCGTCTCATCCATTTCTCGCATACCTCGGAGGAACTCGTCTTCTACTGGCCAATTTGGCACAGTTCGAATGATTGTCATGAGTTCCCCGAAAACCTCCATCATGATGACCTGATCCTCTTGAAACTTCTCCTCGGGAGACTTCGTCTTCAGGTTGCTGGTGGGATCGTACGTTCCAAAGACGCCTTGCTTGAAAAGCGGCAGCACATTGGGTCTTAACACCGCCTGGAAGCCTTCCAGGAAGCGGTAGACGTTGATGTACGTGTTGTTCGCGACGTCGTACGTCTTGACGTTGAAGGCCGTTCTGTTGTCCCTTCCTCCATCTGAAATGTTCATGCTCTCCTTGCTGAAGCCGCTGGCGAGGGCGGCTGCGTGGTAGTAAGCCATAGCGACCTCCCATACACCGCCATGAGATCGGAACAGAGGTATGACCTCCTCTGCGATGTTGTGCGCAAGCTCGACGGCGGTGTTTGTTGCAATGGCGGCAGTTGCAACATCAAAGGCTCCGTCGCGGTAATTCTGCCAGATAAACAAGATCTGAAGGCGGATCTTGCGGAGGTCTTCCAGCATGATAGAGTAGGCGAATATGGCGTCTTTGAAATCGGAGTATGCGGCTCCCTCGGCTTCATAGACCACCTTATCCGTGGCCTTCTCGGGCTCAGGTCTCTTGATGTCTGGTGCCTTCAGGAAGTCATCTGAAGGCTCGTACACCTTCAGTGCTTCAAATGCGTTCGCGAGCGCATCGGCAGAAGACGAGGAGCTTGACTCCGACCATGCCGCAGTAGCGGTTGGCATGCGAGGCCTCAGAGATTCCCGAACTTGTTCTAGAATCCCGACGAAGAAAGAGTGAGACTTTTCGACTTCGAATGCTGTCTGTTTGCCCTGCTCGGCTAGGCGATTGCTGAAGGAGGAGCGGACGTTGATGACCCGGTTGATGGTGGTGACGAAAGATTCCGGGACGTCCACCACTGGCTTCTTGGAGCCGGCGATGAATTGGGCGAGCGGGACAAAGTCCTTGAGCGCCACAATGTACTTAGACGAAATATTCTTGTGTTTGTGTTTGGCCTTTTTTTTCGCTTGCCCAGCCGGCTTCAGTAGATCGGCTGGGTAGCCGCAGGCCTTGGCTGTGGAGGCGAGCCATGAAGCCACGGAATCAGTGTCCTGCTTGTACTGCTGGTAGACACTGACTAGGGGAGCTGGAAGCATCTTGCCATGTGGAGGGGCTGATAGTGGAGTGGCAGATGGAATGTGAGTTGTGACATGAACGTGGGGAAATAATGTGCGATGCGAGGGAAGGTGGGAGTCCCCAGGTGTGCCACATCGCCAGTTGTGTGTGGCTTATCCCTGAGGTGTGGCTCAACACTGTGGCGCATCCCCCGTCCCGTGGCTTAACCAACCAATCCTTCACCTTCTCCATAAGAGTTCTACTGTCGCGGTGTATCGATTTATCTTAATGACTCTCTACCGCCTACATTTTCCTCGGGATCTCTCTTGTCGTCCTTCTTGATGTCCTTTTCACACGATCTTCCAAACTGTCCCCATCATCCTTTACTGCGAGACAAACAATAAATCAAATCCAAAAGTCTCCTGCATCCCATCAAGTGCTGCATGACGCCAGTACATTGAGTACCCGTAATCTCTCCAATTTCTGTCTCGCTGAATTTTGTAGTTCGCTGAGGAAAAAAATGTCGATCAGCTGAAATAATATCTGACTCGCTGTACCCCGCAGACTCTTGTACTGGCGTCATGCAGCACTCGATGGGATACTCACAATACAAGCCAACGAGCGTGCTTCCAGTGAGGCTTATCTAGTCAAATCTCCCTTTTCAGGCTCAACATGGCAGAACTCCTTGAAGCCCCTCTTACAGAGGTATTCCTCCACCGGATGGCCTTGCGTCTGAATGAGATGGTTGAAATGATCGGCAACACACCGCATGGCAAAGAGACCATCATACTCTTTGGCATCGGCATCGCAACTTTTGAACAATAATTGGACAGCAAGTTGCATTTCAATGTCTTCCTCTGTCAGACCCGGTGATAGAAAGCCTTGGAGGGCCTCCATTACGATGCCCTTGATGACTTCCATCGTTGATCGAGCCGAGCGATGGAACTCAAGATACGGAAATTCAAACTCCACTGACTCTTCTTGAAGAGCCATTCTGAGCTGTATGGCCGTATTCCACGGACTGAGGCGATTCCCCGCCTCGGTGTCATTCTCTTCATTTGGCTTTGGCCGGGATTTGGCCTCCTCTTTGCCCTGGACTTTGCTCGCGATCCTCTTGAAATGGTTGGCACCATGGTCGCCAAATAGAGTCTCTCTATGTCTTGTGGTGCTTTCAGCAATGTTTCTTACAAGCAAGTCGGCCCATTCCGTCGTTGACCCGTCGTACGAGTACTTGGAAACGAGACTGGTAAAAGTTGAAGCAACATGTTCGTGCTGGATGAGACGCTTCTCGGCTTGGGGTGCGATTTTGGTCCCCGCAGGATCGGTATTGGCCTTTCCCGCCTTCTTCTTGTGCAAATTGGCAAAGTTTACAGCTGAAAATCCCAACTGCAGACTGTACTTCCTGTAAAAGTCTTTTCCGTCCGTGGGAGGTGGTCCAGTGAAAAGCTTGCTCTCGAGACCAGCTCTTGAGAGCGCAATCTCCAAGTCCCTCCAAGGCTCCCGCAGGAGGCCAAGCTGATTCACCGCGTTGTAGACATGTGCAGTACTGGCGAAAGTGGCCCAGAAATTGGCAAGATCGATGCCAGCCTCCTTCATGTAGTTGCGGCAGTAGGCAACAACGAGACCGGACATGTAGGGAGAGTCCCTGAAGAAGGACGCTTCTGCAACCTGCTGCGGTGGTGTGCCGGCAATTAGAAGCTTGGCCTGATGGCATGGGTCCTTCAGAAGCTTGTCCATCATCTCGATCATGTCCCTCGCAATTCTGTCGCGTGCGACAGGCCACATGCTCGGCTGTGTCGCCACAACCAGAGAACGCTCGAAATCAGTCTTGCCACCCATCTCATGGTTGAGATCGGCCTTCATGCTGTTGAGTTCTTCGACCATCTTCTGAGAGGGATTCATGGTCAGAATACCTAGGTTTTGCTGTATGTCCACGTGGATCTGTGCTGCAAGAACAAGATAGAAGGGGACAGAGCCCGTGGCTTTCATCTCCCGGATGCCACGCAGTATCTCATCCTCGACGGGCCACTCTGACTTTGTCACATGACTGCTGAGAATGAGGTAGTTTGAAACTAAGCGGATGACTGCGTCTTGGTCCTGCTCAAACCGCTGGCTGCCAGACAGTCCACGCTTTTTCATGACCCAATCGAGTGACTTCGGGCCCGAAAACATGGGAACCTCCAGGTCTTTTCCCTCCTTCATAGACTGAAGACAGGCATTAAGGGTTGCGTAGACACAAAGTAGGGATCGGTCGTATGTCGTGTACATGTCTTCGGACATAAGCGTCGTGCCTTGGCTGTAACTGAGGGTTTCCGTATCAGGACCATTCTTGGCACAGACGAGCGCGACGAACTGCTGAGCTACCTCCCAAACACCTCCTTGAGCTTCAAATATGGGAAGAACATCCTTGACAGCGTGATTCGCGAGATCAACGGCGGCTGATGTGGTGAGCGCGGCCGTAGACAGGGTGAGTTCTCCGCGGGCATTTTTGCCCCAGGTGTCAATAATTACTACACGAACTCTTGCGAGATCGCTTGCCATCAAGGCGAAGATGATGATCGCGTCCAGGGTGTTGAGCTCGTCTGAGGTTTCCGCTTCGTACTTTGGTGCGTGAGACGCCGGAGCCGCCGGAGCCGCCTTGGACATGTGCTTGTCGATATCTGGAGAGTTGAGGAAGTCGGTCGAGGGATCCTCGAAGTCCAGAGCAGCAAACAGGTTTGTAGTCTCCTCGTCTGATGACGCAACAGTCTGCCGGGTCTTCGCCACATCCTTGGGAACCAGTATATCTTGGACCTTTTCGATAATCCCCACGAAATAAGCATGCGCTTCGACGGCGTGGGCATCCAGGCCACTGAAATCCTTCACCTTTGAGGCGAAATCCGATCGGGCAGTGATGACCCTGTTGATCGTGTTCACGATGGATGGAGGGGTGCTAATCGCTGGCTTGGTCGAGGCGATGGACTCAGCCAGGGGCACGAAGTTTCGAATGGCCACCTTGTATTTCGATGGCCGTCCGTTGTCATTTCCCTTGCCGGTGTCATCCCCCTTGACGGTCTGCGTCTCTGCATTCGATCCGTCTCCGGCCTCGTTACCAGCAGAGGCCACATCACCTTTATATCCGTGAGACCGAGCAGTCAGAGCGAGCCAGGAAGCCAATACATCAGTGTCGCGCTTGTACTCTCGATACGTGCTGACCAGCGACAGAGGAAGCATGTTGCAGGCTTTCTGAAGAATAACGCTTGACGTTTGTAGAGGCTCGTTCAAATGAGGAGGAGTCAAGGGCTAGGGTTAAGAAAGCGAGATGATTGAAGACGTGTTTTTGAAGGCTCAATATCTGTTAGAGTCGTCGCCTGCTTGATGGACTCTGACGTCTCGGGGAACGACCAGGAGATCGGGCTTTTACGTCAAATTCGACTACGCTACCTATGCCTCTGTCATTTTTGATGAAGCCAAACACCTTCCCTCAAGGGAGACTTAGGCATTGATTGCGGACTCGGAACCCCTATTGTTACCTCAGGGCCTTTGAGCTCATAATTGTCTCCTCCGCAAGGACTCTCCCTTGAGCGCGTAAGCGACGCGGTTGGCCACAAGCACCCGCATCCGGAGTAGAATGGTGTCAACGAGGACATGAGAATAAAGATGTCAGCCAGGTATCTCAGGTCAGCCAGAGGTTGAATGTACCGAGCACCTGTCGCCGTGGCCAGAGCTATGACTGCCCGGCTTGGACAGGTACGGTGCACCATTACCACACGTCCAACAGGTACAAAGAGTTTGATGCCAGCTTTCCTCCAATATCTCAATTCCATACCAGCCGCCTCACTAGCAGAGACCTGAAGAACCTGAACAGGATCGGACATATCTCACTGATAAATGATATGTCGGAGGTCGCTCAATCATCAGTCAGGTTGATGATCTCTGTTCGCCTCGAGAAGAATAGGAGTCGTTGGACTTCTTGTCAGCGTCCTTGTCGGCATCCTTTATCTCGGTCCCCTTCTCGGCATCACAAACAAAGAGTGTGCGGACCGTTGTTGTGAAACTTTTCTTGTACTATGAAATCTACCTAGTCTAGGAAACCCAAACCTCGTGTAACCCTGGAGCTGAATACCTGAAAGATCCCATTTCCATTCGACGCAAAGTTATGACTGATACATCAAATCTGACTCTGAGAAGACTGAGCCGCCCGTCTGTACACATTCCGAAACCTCGTACCAAATTTGACCCCAGTCGGAGCCCATGAAAGCAAGTGGAGAGTAGAAAATACTCTCCGAAAAAGGTCGAAAGCAATCTTTGACGTCACAGCAAGGTTGACGTGTGACATATTGAAGCAAAAGCAAGTTCGATGGCGTCAACTCGTTGATTTGACCACCATGAGGCCAATTCTGATTAGCTCGAGAAGCTTTACTCTGAGACATTCAAGTGTCTTCAGAGCCGGTCTTCAGAGCCAGGCATAGTTGCCTTGTTTGTCGATTTTCGATGGACACACTAGACATCTGAGGCCACCGAGATAGAGTTCCAATCCGGGTTTGACGGCCCTTCGCGTCCATTTCCACGGCGTCTGCCCCAGCCACGGCCCCTAGTGCCAGATTGCCCTGCATGGTCTGCAGCATTGCCGTCTCTGCCTGTGATTGCAGATGTATGAGGCTCGTTCGAGGACGAGGGCTCGCTGCCGCTTGGATGCTGATGTCTAGCGCCACCTCGCCCACGCTTTCCACTGCCGCGCTTGTTTTGCTCGGCTCTTCCGCGAAGGGCAGGCTCGCCATTTCCATGGCCCGAGGGCAGGACAGACTTGGCACTGACCTGGAAACCGGAAGGTGGCTGCAGGTGAGCTTGACGAACCTGCTGTGAATCATTGCCCTTTCCAGCCGAATCCCCTTGTTCCTGCTGCTTCTTTTTCTTGTTTCGCCGCTTGTTCTTCTTCTTCCCAGGCATGCTAGCCGCCTCCACATCTGCGTGATTGACTTGTCCGTGGGACCAAGCATGGTGATTGCCGGTGGGATTCTCTGAGACGTTGTGGATGTTGCTCGCATCACTGATTGGAAGTGGCTCAGTGATGACTGTGGATAGGTTAGACAACTGGGACTCAGTAGGAGCTCCAATTTCGAAGGCATTGCCAGAGTAGCCGTTGTCTCGCAATGAATATCTCGCCTCTGCGGCGCGAAGGCTGCCACGGAAGCCCTTCCCTCCACGCGGCTTGCGATGTTGGCGGCTGTCAGGTCGTGGATTGTTGCCAAGGCGCGAGTCTCTGCCGATGCTTTGAGCTTCCTGACGCAGAGTCTTGGAAGTGAAAGCTTCCGAAGTAGAGACGCCGTGGGTAGTAGCGCCAGGGACAAAAGAGCGTGCGCCCGAGCGAATTGCCGAAGGACGCGGGAATCGAGCCTTAGCGGTGTCATCAAGATAGATCTTCCGGATTCTGATTTCCTCGGGGTCGTGAAACCAAGGCAGCCACTCGCCACACGGCTCAGGACAGCAGAGGTTCACAACACGCTTGAATCTTCGATCTTTTTGCTGGCGAGTCTTAGCCGCGTACATCATTTGGTCTGTCGTAGAGATTCCCCAGGCGTGCTGTCTCTTGCGCATCCTGTCTTGCCCGTCTCTTTCCAAGTACAATTCTTCGGAGAACTCAGAAGGCAGGATGGGCCCAAAGTAGTCAATAAGGCCGGTGACGGGGCGGCTGAACCAGTAGAATGTCTCGGTGAGGGAGTCTCTGAAGAGCTTCTCATCGTCGTGTCCTGTCGAGAGCAGATCAAACGCCTCAATGAAGTCCAGCATGAATTCAGAATGCCACACCTCGTCCCAGTCGCGGGTTTTGTTCTTGAGCTTGTTCCAGCAGTCTTGGGTGACTTCGAGGAGAGAGACGAACATGTGTCTCAAGATAGAAAGAAGAGGGCGGTGGACAAAACGGTCGCCAAGAATGACCGTCTTGGCCATTGTGGCCAGCTTCATCTGGGGAATTTCCAGACGGCTTTCCATCCAAGGACCTTGCATGATGGCGTTGATTTGGTCGTCGAAGACTCTGGGAGGCACAACCCGGACGCCGCGAACCTTCATTTCGAAGAACCAACCGTGCGCGATGTTGAGATAGAACTCGAAGGCTTCGACATCCACGTCGTCGAGGAAGATTGTTTGCTCAAGAGTCTCCTTGAAGAAGCCGAAGAGGCAGCATTCGAAATACATCGAACCCGCAACGATGACGTCGCGAAAGACAATGAATACCTTGCCGCCGCAGTGTAGGTGAACATAGTCGTCGACATGCCTGACTTCTATCAGTAGCTGAGAAGGGAAGAGCCGAAGAGCTCGCCGAACTTACAAATCAACCACGGTCTTTCCACTTCTGGCGGTGGCTATTCCGTTGGCGACCGCTGCCATGTTGACCGCGTTGGGACGCAAGTCTATGATGTTGGCCATGATAGGTGTGGACTCCAAAACTGCGAGTTTCGGGGTGTCTATTGTCGCTGAGACTGGTCTTTCGTCTAAGATTGGAATAGATATTCGTAAGATATGGACAGCCAAGACGTCGTGTTCGGAGAGTCGAAAGTTGGGCAGGACGGCGGAGAAGGGGGATAGAGTTGGAACTGCTCGATCGTTAGTAGTGCCAGCGCGTTGGGTTGAGCAGTCACCCACATAGAATATGATGGCGGGTGGTTTGATCGGGTTTCTTTGGAGCAGGTCAAGCTTTCGAGCAGGTAATCCGACGACGAAGAAAAAAATGAGCCTTGAGGCGATGCGAGTCGATAGGACCCTGACGGAAGAGGGGATTCAGGCCTGACAAGGGTCCTGCGCAGTGTAAGTCGAGAGGTAGATGGAAAGAAGAGGCGGTCTGTGGCTTGACCGAGGTGTTGATGGAGGAGGAGAGTTGTGGGAAGGAAGTGGAAGCCTTGACGCACCTGGCGAAAATATTCCTGGCCTGGAACCCTCTGGCCGGCTCTTTCCCTTATTGCAAGAGCCTCAAAGGCTGCCAAAGGGCGGGTAGACAGGTAGCTGCGCTGCCGCAACTGGTGCAACTCATGATATTTACGTCTCTTTCGGTTTAGTGCAGTCGGATTAAGCAGGTGCAGAGCAGCACACACCTTCTCGGAGGCTTCCGGACTGGGCCGGAGCTGGGCCGGAGCTGGGCCGGTTGACGCCCCACTTTAGACCGAACCTGCTCCGGCGGTATCTCGGATCTTCTAAAATCCCGAAGAAAAGACACAAGGGACTCGATAGCCGCAGCCGTGCCTCCCCAAACTCATGGGAATAGGTAAATTGACTTGATTACTTGTCTTACCAGGCCAGCGTCACTGTGACCTTGCACCTGGAGAACGGCATTGCCGCTTTCGGTAGTAAAACTCGTAAGTTGTCTAGTGACTTATCAAGCACACTTTGAGCAGCTCATCCATCCCGGACCAGAGCTGAATTCATTCCGAACAGTCAGAAGAGGTGACTAGGTCGTTGGGGTCGATTTACACAGTGCCGGAACCAAATACACACGCCCCAGTGAACCCCGCCATGATTGCTGAAGAAGCGCCCAGGAATTTAGAGCCAACCTACCGAGTCTGTCCCCCATCATTCTCCATCAATCTAGGCATACCTTGCTGAGTTTTCGACAGAAAGCTGCGAATCGCATCGAATCAATGAGTAAATAGTTACTTCGGTGTCTTGGAAGGCCTTGAAGGCCAGCGAAAGCCTCATTAGTTGCATCGATCTCTGCAGGGTAGGTACTACTACTTCGAGGTCCTGTTGCCTTGCGTGGAGTCTTCCCTGCCTGCTTTGATGCTCCTTCTTGTGGGAAATTCAAGGCGGCTCTTCCTTGTTCCTTCTGTTCATCGCGAACGTACATGCTGCGGCTGCTGCCTTTGAAGAGTTCAAGGCAGGCGCCCGTTTGGCCGTTTGACTCACAGCCTCTCTTAGTCACCTCCGATCCTGCGTCCTCTTGCGGCCTTTGCGCTCAAATTGCACGGTTCTTTCGTCTCAAGCCAAAAGATCTCGCCAGATTCCCACCTAGTCGTTGTTTCTCTTCAACCTCTCCAAACATGGGAGGCTCCGTCTTTACCGCGGGCGACAAGCCTCTCAACACCCCTCGAATGCCTCCCGAGGTCTACGAGCGCGTCAAGGCCGAGTGCCACGCTGCCCTTAGAAGGATTTACCTCTGCGTCGCCAGCCCCATCGAAGGTCCGGCCAAGAAAGACTACGGTGATATCGACATCCTGGTAGCCTTGGAGAGATCCATCGTACTGGGGGACTCTCATTCAGATTACCCGCCCTTTGGAAAAGACGGGAAGACGGACGCCTGCAAGGCCATTCAAGAAGCTATAGGGGCACCATTTCTCAAAACCGAGAAGCAGACCGACCACTACGCCGTTCGATGGCCTGATACCGGCCCTTTGGCAGAGGGAGAAGATACCTCGACCTCATCTTCTGAGCGATACTGCCAGATTGACATCGCCATCTGCGACAACTTGGAACAGGTACATTGGAAGCTGTTCAAGCATGCTCATGGAGACCTTTGGAGCATCCTCGGTACGATCATCCGACCATACGGCCTCACGGTAGATGAAGAGTCTCTTTGGGTGCGTATCGTCGAGATGGAGAAGTTCGACAAGAAGAGGGCTAGAGTCCTCCTCACGCAGGATCCTTACGAAATCCTCAGCTTCCTTGGCTTGGCTGCCGACAGCCACATCTGGGACTCGGGATTCGAATCGCTTGAAGATATGTATGAGTACGCCGCCACATGCCGCTTTTTCTGCTCTCTTCCTCTCTCGGACCAGTCATTGCCAGCAGCACCCGCTACTCCTACGCGGACTGCCTCACCCTCAACCACAACGTCGACCAAGTCTCCCGCAAGCTCGAGCTCACTTCTACCTTCTACGCCCGCAAGTTCCGTTACCTCATCGAGAAGTCAAGCCTCGGTATTGCCAGCTACGCCCTCAACGCGGACGTCTCCTGCCACTGCCGACGTACAGACGCCTGAGCCGAGCAAGAAGAAGCTGAATCACAGCGACAGGAAGCGCATGACATCCCGACAAGCCTACAGCGACTTCATCAATAAGTTCATCCCCCAGTGCCGAAAGGAGGGTCGGTTTACTCAGGTCCCGGGAACCATCATGTCGGTTCGCGCGGAGGCTTTCGAGAGATTCCCAGGAGTCAAGGAGGTATTCGAGACACGGCACACTGAATTTCTCAATGACCAGGACATTCTTACGATCATGGCAAAACTCAAAAGCAGTTGGATCCCTGCTATCGACACCACGGACCCCAGACAGTGCCAGTACCGCGGCTGTCAGAGCAAAGCTCTAAAGAGAATCATATTCGAGGGCAACGACAGCTACGGTGGCATTGTTCCAGAGAAGCCGCTCAAGGACAGATCCAGCAGATGGAATGTCGACAGAGTCGAGCAGTTTGTCAAGAAGCATATGGATGTCATCGGGAAGATTGCCTACGAGCAGAATCAGCAAGCATATGCCAAGCGTAAGAGACGGGAGGAGAGCGAGGAGCAGCACAAGAAGGATCCCAACGGCTGCAAGACGCCCAAGCTCACCGAGTCAGGGAAATGTGAGGCTTGTGGAGGAGGTGCCTTGAGAGGGGTAGAGGCGTAATACGGAGAAGAAGGGGTTCAAGGGCGTCTTACGGTTGATTTTCTAATAATGCTTCATTTGGAGTAGCTCTATTTGAGCCAAATTGCGATGAGAGGAAGATCAAGGGCATATGACGCAAATCAGTAACACTCGGAGCTGATGAGGGTATGGAGAGAGTCTGTAATGGGAGCTCAAGAAATGGGAGTCTTGAGACAGGATTATACCCTCCATGATACCTCAAAGATACCTATAGACAATAAGCTCAATCGAATGCTGACAGTTTTGCCTTCTTTTACCATGATCTAGACTCCTTCCTTCTTTGTAGCCTTCCAAGTGACTACTAGTAAGATCCTCTCGCCCGGTCAACACCAAAACACCACAACACCAGGACGACATCATACCTGCTCAGCCGCAGCCCTCCTCTTGCGGCTTGAATGAGAGTGCTTTGCCCTAACGACATAATCATGCCCCACGCCAAAAAGAGGTCCTTGAAGAGTTTTCTGTTTTGATTTCTCCTGGCTCTCCTTTTTGTTCCCTTTCTCCTTCGGACCACTTTCTCGCGATTTTGCTGAGGCCGCCTTTTTCGTCAACAACCACCTTTCAGCTCCATCCTTGCTGTTCTTGTTGTCTTTGGCCTTCATCGTCCTTGGCTATCGTCGTCTTTGGCTCTCGTCGTCTTTGGCTCTCGTCGTCTTTGGCCTTCATCGCCATTTCCTTTCGTTCTCGTCCGTCTCTGGCTTTCAGCGCCGTCCTTGTCGTCTTTGGCGTCCAGCACCGTCCGTCACCTTCTCCAAGAACCTCATGTGAGGGAACCCCTTTCTTCACTTCTGAGGAAGCCAGCTGACCGCGAAAACAGATAAATACCGCCACCCTCGCCCAGCATGTCCCGCGGCCCTGCCTACGACTCCCCCGCCTCCGTACGTACCAGACCCTCTCGATTACTCTATGGACGAAGACTGACGACGATACAGAACAGCGGCGAGGCCTCCTCCTCCTCCCCCTCCCTCGAGGAGCGTGGTCGTCGCCGTGCCCGCGCCGCCACCACCCCCATTCCTGCCAGCCCCTCCTCCTCCTCGTCTTCTGCTCTCCCCGTTGGCCCCCTCTCGCCCGCCCTCACCACCGCCCGCAGCCGCGTCCTCGCTGGCGTCCGTCTTCGTCCTTCCCCGGCCCGCCCCCCCTCCTACGGCTCTGCCTCCTCTGCCGCCGCCGCCGCTACCCCTCTGCGCGCCTCCTTCGAGGAGGCTGACCCTGTCGTCGCCCCGGCCGCCCCCGCGACCCGCCGCACCCCCAGCCCCCTCCCTCCCGCCAGCTCCCCCATCGCCATCCCTGGCGCCGCTGAGCGCAACCGCGTCCACCGCCGCCGCACCGTTGGCGACGCTGCCAGCGGCAGCGGCAGCGGTAGCGGCAGCGACGACGACCTCTTCGGAGGTGGTTACGGCAGGCCTCCTTAGGAGGGTCGCCGTCGTGCCACCTCCGACACCTCGCGCCCCGGAGGCTTCTCCGCGGAGGAGCTCTCCGCGCAGGCCACTCGCCTCCGCGAGCGCATCGGCGTTGGCCGTGGCTGGGTTGTAAGTTCCCCCTTTCCTGTCATCCCTGTCGTCGTCTTTCTATACATACTAATATTACGCTTTCAGGACCCCGCCGGCCGTCTCCGCGCCCTCCCCCACGGCGCTCGTCTGCCGCCTCCCCCCACCCTTACCGAGGAGGACCTCGCTCGCGCCCGAGCCTTGTCCCCCGCCTATCCTCGGGGCCCCTCTCCTCCTCCTCCCCCTCCCCAGACGGAGGAGGAGTACATGAGGGGTGTCGAGGAGAGGGCTAACGAGTACCATGCCTTCTAAAAGGGGTGCTTCTTTCTGCCGCCTACCCTGCCACGGCAAGGAGACGACGACGACAATGATGATACGCTGAGAGGGGACAGAGGTCCTCGCGGGCCTCTGTCCCAGGATAGTCACCGATAGTCTCGGCTGCTTAAGCAGCAATAGACCGCTTTTCTGGTCTTCATCTTCTTGTGCCTATTCCTTTGTGAATACTTCTACGTATGTTATCGTGAACAGTTACTTGCAGGCAGATGTTCCCGAGCCCCTTTAATGTTGACTTTCTCGAAACCTTCATCGTCACTCATTTCTGGTAGCGTCAAAGACGTATTCCCTGCGAATCGTCTATGGTACATAACGCTCGACTTGCAATTCTAAATCAACAACAGAAACATCACTCATTTATCGTTTATCATGATGTGTTTTGATCTTCTCAAATCTCAGCACCGCGCTGGCAATTGTTACACTCGCTGCGGGGAAAAATCCATAACGTGTGTCGCTAAATATCAGATAAACACAACGAGCTCTGGCGTCAAGCTGGAAATCAAATATCTCACGCATAAAAGCCCCACTCTTGTTCATCACTTGCACAACAGCGGCAATAGATTACTATCTTGTCGGAGGCGTGATGCTACCCAGGCATCTGTAGCCAGAGGGTAATGACTGCGAATTGAAGCCATGCCTCGGATGTATGAGTTGCTCTTGGCAGAAGGTATTCATTTCATCTGAACAGTATACTCTAGGTGTGATACGTGACAACGACCATCTACACATATAGAGTCTTTGGGCATTCGCTTTCAATCAACATGCCAATACCCTGCTCACAAGGCACGAACGTGTCGACGCATGAAAACGACGACTATACGACAGACGCGGAGATTCCCATTGTGACTATCTCACCTTGATGATACTCATGAGGTCTCAATTTATATGAGTATGGTGGTCTTTCAAGCCTGCAAGTCTAAAGCATCCAGCTACTGTATAAAGCCGAACCACCCGGCCTGCTTCAAGTTGGCAAATCGAGCGCTTCGGGGTGATTCTGTACTTGAAAGCGGCATCCACAACCAGTGTGGAATCTCATCACACCTTTCAAAAGATAACAAGTCGTTAGACATCAACCAGAATGGTTAGCCAGCATATTCGTCACAAAATTCGTCGAATATTCCAGTGGATCCGGAGGCGAAGAGAGAAAATGAGGTTTTTTTCGCTTGCAGTCGCCTCGGAAGTCAGCCAGATCTTCGTCTAGCGGACATGCTTCCAAGCTCGTTTCTTGCCTTTTAACGTGAAAGCTGGTCGTGGCCCATGTATTCTGCGTCGTTTCTAGATCTCAAGGGCACCCCAAAGGTCCTTATATGGGAAATCACCAGCCTGCCTGCACAATCACTGTTCATTTTAGTATGCTGACTCCGGGTATTTAATCTGCTCCATATTTTGATAATGATAATCAACGGCAAATCATAAGGTTGCACATCTCTCTTCCCCGCCAGATTGAGAGCTCAGGAGTCGAGATTCTGCGGTGCGTCTGACAAGCATTACTGATGCTCCAATGCCCCACGAAACAGCAAGTGTCCTGGTCCCTCGTTGTCTCCCTGTTATTCAAAACGATATGTGTAAAAAACCCCGAAAAGATGTCATGTTGTAAGTGCCTTGACTTTCATTGTTGGTGCTATGCTTAATGACATGTTATCTAAGAAGCTCCAAAAAAAGATTTCGCCCTCCTGGTCCGATAACGCCACATTTGGTTCTGCTCTCGTCACTCCAGGCTGGATGGTTTGGTGGTCTTAAATACTTGTCTCAAGGAAGATTGGCTGCCACGCCACGTATGCTACGATTCGTCGTCGCTTACCTTTCCGTTTGCTACGGCGCCCAAGATGCAAACAATCGCCCTGCAATGCTACCCTCGCCTTTGAGGGTTCCCACACATGCACACGAAGAGCCAACTAGCCACTTTGAGGCTCATTATCACGAGTCGTCTATAAGATGAAGCAGGTCTCAATGTGTCATGTATGGCGGAAAGCAATTGATATGTGCAGTAGACTGGTCACTGGTGAGCATGGCAAGATTTCTAGCAAGCGGGAAGGCTCCTTGTCCCGCAAAAGTCCTAAGATATACCGCCTTGGCAACGTTGGCCTCGAGGTTCGCGAGAGCACCCAGCCTGCAGAACAGTTCCTACCACCAACATCTTGACCTAGGTAACATGACATCCCAGGTCAGTAAGCCACAAGGCTTGTTGATCCTGCTGACCCGACAGAGGCAGCACGAGCACGGTGCGAGGCAACAAGATACCAGTTTGCAACCATGCCAGGCTGGCACCGACCCGATCCGGACGTAAGAATTCTAATTCCAACATCGGTTTGCACTTGCGTGCCGCAGGGTAGCACAGGCATGTGGTGTCTCACACACATTTCAGCCAGTAATTCCCCGTCAGCCTTGACGGGCGAGGTGCGCCAGTCCCCTCTGTCCCTTGCTCGTCGCCCCTGCCAAAGTCTGGGGGGTTACAAAGAAGGTCCACAGATTGAGAAACGCCTTGACTCCCTCCAGAACCCCCACGACAGAAGCAAGACAGCTTCCGTCGTTGGAATAGGGGAGGCGGGGTTTGAACGGGGCAGGACGACATGAGGCTCTCAATGCCAAGCACCGTTTGCAAGCCAAACTTGCTTATCAGATGCTGCTTAGGCATGGACATCCCAGCTGATGGCATGCCAACAGCTTCGGACTCAATGACCATCAACACACGACTCTATGCTTTTTTGACTTTTTTGCTCGGCTTTTGCCCAAGCCATGGGGAATGCGTGGGTTAGCGACATTGTCTGGACTCCTCGGCGACAGAGACGCGGTACAGGGTTGATGAACGAAGGCATGTCCGAGCCGGATGGCAGCAGTACCCGGAACCGATACGTAGAGGGTCAGGATTAGCAATCCAAATTTGAATTAAGCATCAAGGGAATGTGACTGTTTGCCCCATGGCCATGTTAAACGTTGGTCGGCTTATCGGCCGAAAGGATATGCGAAGTCCTTTCGTCGGGGACCGCGTAAGATCAGATCAGATCAGACCATGGGCAAGTTGAACCGGATGCTCACTTGTAGATTGCGGTCGTACTATGTAAACCCAATGTGCCGCTGAAAAGGCCATGCGAGGAACAGGCAAGGTGCAATAGGATGCCCTTGCAATCCAGCCAGGGGTGCAGACAACATTGCTTTTTTGACCATCGAGATCACTGGCGGTGAGACAGGGAGATCCGTACATAGTGGGCTGGCGAGGCCAGAAGCGCGGGAGGATGTCGCATGGCGCCTCAGCGGCACCTTCGTCACCGGACATGGATGCTGAAAGGTCGCAATCCGGTGAGCGGCGCTGGGGCTTGCTGTCAACGGAGGCCCGGAAGCTGGCCCGGATGGGATGACGGGCTGGCGCCGGCCCAAGTGTGAAAGCCCAAGAGCCCGGTCAGCGGTTTTTATTCGACCTTAATGCTGCTGAGATGCTGCACTCGTGGCGGGTCTCGTAGAAAAACTAGGTGATTGGTAACAGCAGACGGCCCAAGATGACGTCTGGCTGCACCACCAGGAGATGGACGTTGATAGAATGCGCTTTCACTGCAGCTTGCAGACCTCAAGGTGACAGCACTATGTACCTTGCATACTGACAGGGATACTGAGAGTGCTCAGCGCCAGGGACCAGTCTTGCAGCTACAGCTACGTAGCTGGATAAGCTGCTGTTGGAGAATACAGGTCCTCGATTGGCTCTGGCGATCACCGAGCTGAGAGAACGAATGCTCTAGAGACTCCCTACTGCGGTCAAACCGAGCCGCAGCGGTAGAAGCTGACCGTGGCACAAGACCAATAGTTGCCCCGAATATGTTGGCTGACATCTCGTAGAAGCCAGTCGGGCAGTGTTGGAAAAAATTGCTGAGCCAACTGGAAGAACAGGGGCACGGTTGGTCACCGGTCACCCTAATGCGCGTCGCTGCAGCTGCGCGTCCAGGGGGAAGACGTGGGTCGGCAGTAAGAATGGAACCCTCCAACATAAATTCCGACTGGGGTATTCCGCTACTTGTTCAGTACTGCCCACCGAAGTCTAGGCAGCTGAGCGTCCGCCGTTCGTTCGTTTCCCATTTGGATTCATCACTGGCTCATTGCCTGCGGCCTCCAGCAACCACCACAATGAACAGCAGAGCCGCGCCGTCGTGAGTCACGATGAGGCTCTGTATGTTGACCAAATTTGAGAACCGACTGTCTCGTGTAATCTCCAATGGCATTTTCTCGGGGGAATGGGCTCTTTAAGAATGCTGACGGGTGAGACGAGCCTGCTGGATGCCTGAAAACAGGCAGTAGAGCCGCCAGGAGGTGCGCGCGTCATGGATCTAAACGAGCCTCGATGGCATGGCAGTCTGGGGTTGCTTTTGGTATGCCGTATGAACCTAGGCAAGCCGGTGAATGATGCTGGTTCAGCTGTTGGCCGACCCCAGAGCCAGGCACCCAGGCCGTCGGAGGGCCATGAAGGATGGAGAAAGCGATATCGACATGGCTTAAAGGTCCGAGACTCCCGTCTGTTCCCACGATGGCTTTGATGCCAGGTTCGCGCTCGCACCACCACGACGGCCTAACCTCTCCAGCTACCCCACGTACCTGCGAAGAAGCTCGCCCCATTCCGCGAAGTGTCCTTGCTGGTGTGTCAGCCCATCTGTCTTTCTTTCTAGTTTGCGACGGCTCCTAGCCGGTGCATGGGAACAGACGGGGAAGCCCATTTCGACGGACCAGACAGCCATCTTAGGTTAACGGGCATCTTGGTGTATCCACCTCCACTTGCGCGTCATTACATCTGTTTGCAAGACTTGGAACCTTGATGGACACTTGATGTGCATCTGAGTCAGTACAGAAACCTCAACAGTTGATCCAAATATCTCCCATCGAGCTTGTCGCACGCAAACCAGCAACGTTTCTTGTTCTGTCTTTTGATCAGCATCTCACTGTCTGTACGAGGGCAAACCACGGCGACGGCGATAGCGAACCAACCACTTGGACAAGCA